TGGTTGTCCAATCTCTTCTTAAAAACCTCCACTGTTGGAGCACCCACAACTTCTGGAGGAAAGTCATTCCACTGATTAATTGTTCTAACTGTCAGAAATTTTTTAGTTCTAGGTTCATTCTCTCTTTGATTAGTTTCCATCCATTGCTTCCTTGTCCTGCCTTCAGGTGAGCCATGAGTTCAGGAGAACCTTCAAACTACACACTACTGCTGCCTGGAGTAGTATAACCTCATCCAGAACTAAAAATAAAATAACGTTAGATCCAAGAGGATCTAAAACTCACAAACACTCAGTTTTGCTAGGATTGAGCTGAGCCCATTTCTTTCTAATGCTGTTCCCACAGCATCACTTGGTCAGTGCTTTACAAAGATGTAAAGCAAGGTGTCATCAGTACTAATCTTTCATCTCAGACCACTAAATTATCTCACTCAATGGCTTTATGTAGATTTTTTTTAAAATAGCATATCATTTTCTTAAAGTGTCAGTTATCGTAGTGAACTAGGTGTCTTACTCCACATCTAATACCATATCTGCTGTCAAAATTAGCCTCAGAAACTATGTTTAATTCATAACCTTATCTATTTTATTTGCCTTAAAACAGACAATTAACAGACAATTATAAAAGCAAAATGTGTTACCTCCTTTTCATGTATTCGGAACAATGCTTGTTCATCTCGAGAAGTGCTGTTTTTCCCCAAACCTAACTTGGGTGACATCTATTATAAAAAAACAATATTTTGCATTTAATACCAGTGTTAACACAGAGAAAAAATATTATAAGAAGACAACCGAATCCAGGTGAACACTACATACCAATGAGAGGGACATAGGTTTCTCACGTAAATATCTAGGATTTTCAAGCTGAAAAAGATGCATTAAAAGAGGTTTAATATGAAGACTTTCTGAACAGATAAAGTCTAGAGGAAGATGTTTAAAGCAGTGTTTTTCAACCTTTTTTGTGCAAAGGCACACTTTTTTCATGAAAAAAATCACGAGGCACACCACCATTAGAAAATGTTAAAAA